AAAAAAAAAAAAAAAAAAAAAAAAAAAAAACTCGACTAACAGAACATGTCAGATGAAGAACTAAGACTGACTCTTCAGTGGGGACAAGCTATTCAGAATCCAGGGAACCAGGATTCTCATTCGATATTATACTGGTCAGGGTTCTCCAGTGAAACAGAACCAGCAGCATAGATGTATAGAGACATAGGTAGATAGATAAGTGGATAGATAGATACAATGAGATTTATTATGAGGAATTGAATGTATTATGACTGTGATGGCTGAGAAGTCCGACAATCTGCCATTTGCCAACTGGAGACCCAGGAAAGCCAGTGATGTAAATCAGTTTGAGTTCAAAGGCCTAAGAACCAGAGAAGCCAATGTAGTAATTCCCATCCATGGGCAGGAGAAGATGAGATGAGATATCCACGCTCAAGCAGTGAGACAGAAAAAAGGAGCAAATTCCTCCTCCTTTCTTGGCCTTTTGTTCTATTCAAGCCCTCAATGGATTGAATGATGCTCATTCTCATTGGGAAGGCAATCCACCTACTGAACCCAACAATTCAAATGCTAAGGTCATCCAGAAACACCCCCACAGATATACCCAGAAGTAATGTTTAATCTGGGCATCCTGTGGTCCAGTCAAGTTGACACACAGAATTAACCATCATAAATAATCATAAATATTAATAATTATAATTGATACTATGATTTAAGCACCTAATTAGAGCCACATGCTTTACATACTTTCCTCAATTTTAACATGAAAGAGTCATGGGGTAGCTACCTAGCTCACTTCAATTTCCTTTTCCTGAGAACCATCCTTACGCAGAAATAGGTCCCATAACTGTGTTGCTAGTACGGGGCTCCATATCCCTGGCCACAGCTGATTGAATTAGAGGGTGATACTTGACAAAAAGGGGCAAAACAGATTCTGTTTCCACTATACTTTGAAATGGTGCCTAAAGACTACTATATCAGTCATTTGAACAGAAGAGTTATGAAGAGCTACAGAGTGAGCATCTTCCTCATGTGGAAGAAGGATGAGAGATGGACAGACTACCTGTTGAGTGCTTGCTTGTCACATTGTTCAGATCCTATTGAGACTAATCTACCTTTGGGGTCCATTTGATAACTCAGTGCACTTCCCCCAAAATTCTTTTTTTTGTTGTTGCATAAAGCTGGTTCAAATTATATTTGCTTCCTATATCAAACCTGTTTTATAGATGAGAACAGTGAGAAGCTGAGTAACTTGCAGAGGGCTACTGGCACAGGGCAGCAGAGCTGAGATTAAATCGATATCATATTGACTCTTGAGCTTATTATTTATCTCCTATGCCATTAGAAGAAAGTGTTTCCTTTTCTCAGCTATCTTAGGAGGCTCAGACTCCCATAAAATTAATTATAACCATGTGACTTGCTTTGGTGAAAGAAACATACACAGAGGTGACATGATTCATTCTTAGTGGAGATATTGATTGCCAGTGCTTAACTCTCCATGCTGTTCCTTTTCCAGCAACCCCACGAGCACATCACAGCATGGAGGAAACATAGGATCAAAGAAGCATCCAACACTGAGCTAGCACGTGGAGAGCACCTGTGTGGGAAGCCACCTAAGCTGACAGTGGACTTCTCATGAGAAATAAAATTTGTTGTTTTAGGACGCCAAGATTTTGGAGGTTTCTTTGTTTAGCATTATCTATCTTATCCTACTATATTTAACTAACAACATCTTATGCCCCAGGCCTACTTCTGTCTTTGATTTCATATTAAATTAATTCCAACTTCCTCTTCTCTTAGAGCTATAATTTCAGTTATATATGGCTTCATAACAAACCAGTCCAAAGCTTAAAACAACAATAAATTATTATTTCTCATAATTCTGTTTAACAATAACCCAGGAGGAGCAAGTGAAGTCACCCATATTTTACAAAGGAGACTGGAGCTCAGAAATCTGGACACCTCAAATCACACAACTAGTAAATGGGAGAAGGGAAACTGCAGCTCAAGTCTGATTACTGCAAGGCCTGTGTTTTTTGTTTTTTACCATTAATGCATCACAGTTATTCTGGCCAACACACGCTGTGTTATCTAACAATGATTTCCATGTTCGATCTTTTCAGGTTTTGAAAATTACTTGACAAATGAATAAGAAAATAATCCATTAAAATATTTTTTCTAGAGCTTAGATCATTTATCGATTATTTTAATTTGGAGGGACGTACCTAATTCCTAAAGACCTTGATAATGATCTTATAACAGAGCTGTTAGCAATGTTTACTTATTGTAAAACAATCCCCAACTAAGCCAGGATGGTTGTTTGGAAGTACACACCTATGCAAACCCTGAAAGGGGATTTATTTAGATTTTGCAGTGCCCAAATTTTCTTCTGAGGAATTGAGCTCCTTTACTGTACCCTAGTCCCATGACAGAGAATTTCAGCCCAAAACTCCCAGTCCCACCATTTCTTTAAGGCATTTATGCTACAGTGCAAATGTCAGTACTCATGAGACTTGTATCACTGGGGTGGAGTTGAGATGGGTTGGCTTGCACATAAAAATTATACTGAGAAAGTGTCCAAAATTGCACTCATTATTGCTTGTAATTCCTGGATGCTTGAGACTAAGTCACACAGAGATTAGGATCAGATCTGGTTCAGAAGTGCTACCTGTGGTGCTGTTGCTATGGTAACCAATGGCCAAGGAACAGAGATCCAGGGAAACTATAGTCTTTGCTGCCATCATGAGCTGGGCTCTGCCACCAGACCTTCCCTGGATGACGTGCTTCACTGAGGAATGGCTTCTGCTGTATCCTGTTGTATGGTCCCATACTCTCGGTCCCCAGCCTCCAAATGACACTTTTCATTAGGAACCTCAGCTGCCTGGGCCTTTGATCCATTCCCTTCACTTTTGTTGTCACTTTTCTGATTTGGAGAGAAATAAGGAAATGTTTTACTGTACAAACAAAGACCTCTGAACTCCCCTTATTGTGCAGATGCCCATGTAAGAAGCTTCTACTTTAAGCAATCTCAGGCTTCACACCCAACTGCCTTCTTCTACAACACAGCTCATGATATCCTAACTTCGCGGGAGTGAGGCAAATAGGAAGAAGTGTCCTGGGGTGAGAAGAACTAGAAAAATAAGTCAGGCTGACTATGGGAGTTTGGTGAAATTGTAGTACATGATTACCAGGTGGAAAAAATAATTTTCTTTACTGACCTAAAGTTGGAGCAACCAATATTCCTATCTCAGGCCCCTTGGCCCCATCAGAGTGTCACATACCTTGTTTTGTATCCTGTAGTACTCATTTAACACATACTGATATTTGGGTTGAGTAAGACCGAAGAAGACAGCAAACCTTCCACCAAGGAATTCACATGCTAAAAGAAAGAATGAGCACTTGGGTAAACCGAATTAATAACTAAAGCTTAGCATCAGCTGAGGGCCAAGTTTAAACTACTCTGCAAGTGATCTCTTAATATACTTAACTTGAAGCCTGATAAAAGATTTCAATTGCCTTGACCTCTCAAAAATTCTAGGATTCAAAGGAAATTTGTCAACTCTTCTAACTTTCTATGGGATTATATATAAACTATTTTTTCCACATGTATATATCAGGAGAGATTATCAATATATTCTAACAACAGGTACAGCATGGGTCCTGAGCAACCAGAACAGGTACTGCTCATTAACCCCATGTGTACCGGCTTACATTTCAGATTAAACCCAAACTCAACCCAGTGTTACCAAGATCCACATCAGGAATTCTTCCATGCAACCAGACAGACTCCTCAGAAGTCGTTCAAGGCCTTCCTTGTCTGCGTTGGTAGCAAGGTGGCCTGCAGACTCAGCCCTGGGCTTGTTAGAGGCAGGGATAAAGGTGTAGCATGAATAATGAGTGGTTCCTGAAGATGTCCCCTAGAAATGTTTTCCTTTAAAATTAGAGGATTCCTGACAACCTTCTCTTATGCCCCAATTATAGGACTTTCTGATTCCTTTGATTCATTCTGCCTCTTGGGATATCGCTCACATAGGGCATCAAAATGATGCTATTTTTAATATGTCTTATCTTTTCAAAAATATGCTATCTCTTTGTTCTGTATATTTGTAGTAGATAAGTTTTTTAAAGAATATTAAAATAAATCTTAGGGAGCTTTCCTGTTTATGACCTACTAGAATTTTAACTTGAAAGAATTAATTACCAGTGTCACCTGGGTTTCAACTCCATTCAAACAAAATCTCAGTCTAGAGAGCCTGACTGCTAGCATCTTTATGCCTCCACTACAACTTTGAAGCATTGTAGGCAGGAGCATTTTTTCACTGCAGCTCTGTTTGGAACTCACAAGAAAGCTGGGCTCGCCATACATCCTATCCCTGAAATCTCAAATCAAAACCCAACATGCAAATCACTCTTCTCCATACTGTCAATCCCATATGGAGTTTTACTTCTTTTACATGACCTAATCTTCTCTGATTTCCTCCATCTGAAACATATCCCATTTTTTTATTTTTGTTTTTGTTTGTTTGTTTGTTTGAGACGGAGTCTCGCTCTGTCACCAGGCTGGAGCGCAGTGGCGCAACCGCGGCTGACTGCAACTTCCGTCTCCTGGGTTCAAGCGATTCTCCTGCCTCAGCTTCCCAAGTAGCTGGGATTACAGGCACATGCCACCAACCCAGCTAATTTTTATATTTTTAGTAGAGACGGGGTTTCACTGTGTTGACCAAGATGGTCTCAAACTCTTGACCTCACGATCCGTCTGCCTCGGCCTCCCAAAGTGCTGGGATTACAGGCATGAGCCACCGCGCCTGGCCCGAAACGTATCATTTTAAACCCTTTTGTCTTAACTGAAGTGTAGAGCTTTCTGGAAGACAGCATTTTTTTCTGTTAACATATTGCAGTCAGGGTAGGGTTAGTATTCACTGGGATTTTCAATGTAACTTCCGAATCACTAACTCTCTGTGCTTGTGTAAAAGCATTTATTTCTTGAAGGTTCATATCATCTGACTAAATCACCTCATCTTTACTTTTTACTGTAATTTAAAGACTCTCTGGTCACTTTCATGGTCCTCAAGCTAGCCTTAGCCAGCCACACTGTCATAGCTCTCTGAAGGTGTCTCCTCCATATGTCAGTATGCCCGAGTCTTCCAGGTCATAGTCCCTGTGCACTCCTACCCTGGCAATTGTGAAAACCACTTATAATTATGAGCATGTTTGCTGATCTACATGATTCACTGAACAATGAGCCCCTTGAAAGCAAGACTGTCATTCATCTTTGTGTCCCAGGGTCCAGCACAGTGCTGAGCATATAGTAGACAGTAAATGTTTTTTAAATGAATGAATGAAGATCACTTTCTAAGAGCTATAAATACATTTTATATTTTCTCAGATTCTTAGTAGTTTGCCTTTCTACCATATTCACAAGATGTGCAAGTTAGAAGGAAATGAGTAATTAGATGTTATCAACTATGTCTTAAAAAAATTGGTGAAAGTAAAACAAAATAAGATTTAGTATTTTGTTATAAATATTCACTTAGCCCAGTCATTATGTCTCTAGGAGGGATCAATAAAATTCATGTTTATAATAAAGCAATTATGATGAGGGAAGTAGAAACTTAGAACTGTATATATACAATATATATATATATATATATATTTGAGACGGAGTCTTGCTCTGTCACCAGGCTGGAGTGCAGTGGCACAATCTTGGCTCACTGCAACTTCTGCCTTCACAGTTCAAGCGATTATTCTGCCTCAGCTTCCTGAGTAGCTGGGACTACAGGTGTGAGACACCACACTCAGCTAATTTTTTATTTTTAGTAGAGATGGGGTTTCACCATGTTGGCCAGGATGGTCTCAATCTCTTGACCTCGTGATCTGCCCACCTCGGCCTCCCAAAGTGCTGGGATTATAGGCATGAGGCACCACACCCAGCCAATAATTATTTTTTTAAACTTGGAAGTTTATTCAGATGAAGAGTCAACTAAGGGAGGACCGATTATTGTCCTCTAATATTTGAAACTCTGGGCCTATGAAAGAGGCATCTAGCCTAGTTTGGTATGGTTCTAAGAAAGAAAAGTAGGAACTTTGTAAGTAGATAAAATTGGGCCGAGATAAGAAAGAATTTCCTGATGAGAGCTGGTAAAAGATGAAGGATCCACCTCAGAATGTGAGGTTCTGTGCCTTTGGAAATTAAAGCCTAGCCCAGATCTCACTTCTTCAGCATGCGATGGAGTGGCTTACACAATTGGAAGTCCCACATAACTCTGAGGGCCTATCAATATTTATGTCTATTTAGGACAGAAAAAAAATAGCCTTAGCAGTACTTACTAGAAAATGAGGTGCTTGCTATTCGTCCTGCCCAAAATCGTAGATAGGGTCCCCAGGAAAGTTTAGACTGAAAAAAGGAGAAATCAACATAGAGTAATTAATAAGAAGAATGGTGACTGCAGATTTGTTTTAATGTAGAAATTTCAAAATGCTCTATATAGTATGTTCCATTTTCTCTCACACAGATGAAGAGACTAAGATGATTAAAATTATAAGTTGCCTACACATGGATCTAGAAAGCAAAAAAGGAGACCAAGGACTTAGTTTAAAGCTATTTTTTCTATAAACCGTGTCTGGCTCAGTTTCTTGTTCATTTACCACCTCCCCCACCACGTTCCCTAATATTGACGTACTAAGCTTACAGGGTCAAGTGTTGAATTTCTGCTCTGTTCCTCTTGTTTCTCTTTTTCCTCTTCCTCCTCTTCCTCTGTGCTAGATTCTTCCATGATGTCTCCGTCAACAAAATGGATAATCCTTCTAGGAGTCGTCTTTTTGGAAGGTACACTCTTCTTTAGGTCTAACTGCTGAAAACCGTCTATCTCCATAATGAAACAAAACAACTAGAAAATTAAAAACAGGGTACCTTAGGGCAAGTTACCGACAGCTGAGAGTTATCTAGTTATCTTCAATAGGTACTAAAGGCAGAGATTTCAGAGGTAATCACACTTGTGACCTCTTCAATTCTTCAAATCCAGGAAGGGACTGTTCTGTTCTCTACCAAAATGAAGGTGATTTGATAAGTAGTGAAAATGTGAACTTTCAGCCTTCAAACAAAAGTGTCAACAGGGTTTTCTCACCTTTTGTTAACTTTAAAACGCACAATTGCCAGTAGGGAGGAGTCACTGCCCTGCAGAAGTTTCTCAATTATTTCAATAAGTATTGAGAAGCAATGAAGGAAATGGTTAAGAGTATAGGCTTCACAGACTATATATATAAGTATATATTTGGTAAAAGACTTATTTTCAGAACATGTAAAGAATGATTACAGTTCCTTAGGTAAAAGGTAAACAATTCAATTAAAATATGGTCAAAATATTTGAGTAGAGATTTTACCAAAGATTTACAGATGACTAATCTCATTAGTCATTAGGGAAATATAAATTAAAATCATAATGAGATATTATAACATACCCATTGTAATGGCTGAAAAAAGGTTTTTTTGAAATGGAGTTTAGCTCTTGTTACCTGGGCTGGAGTGCAATGGCGTGATCTTAGCTCACTGCAACCTCTGCCTCCTGGGTTCAAGTGATTCTCCTGCCTTAGCCTCCTGAGTAGCTGGGATTACAGGCGTCTGCCACTATGCCTGGCTAATTTTTTCTTGTTTTAGTAGAGATGGGGTTTCACCATGTTGGCCAGGCTGTTCTCAAACTCCTGATGTCAAGTAATCCACCCACCTCGGCCTCCCAAAGTGCTGGGATTACAGGTGTGAGCCACCATGCCCAGCCTATTTTTTGTTTTTGTTTGTTTTTTGAGATGGAGTCTTACTCTGTTGCTCAGGCTGGAGTGCAGTGGCGCAATCTCAGCTCACCACAACCTCTACCTCCTGGGTTCAAGTGATTCTCCTGCCTCAGGCTCTTGAGAGGCTGGGACTACAGGCACACCCCACCGTGCCTGGCTAATTTTTCTATTTTTAGTAGAGACGGGGTTTCACTATGTTGGCCAGGCTGGTCTCAAACTCCTGACCTCGTGATCCACCCGCCTTGGCCTCCCAAAGTGCTAAGATTATAGGCATAACCTACTGCACCTGGCCAAATTTTCATTTTTTATTTTTTGGGACAAAGTCTTCCTCTGTTGCCCAGGCTAGAGCGCAGTGGCATGATCATGGCTCACTGCAGCCTTGACCTCCCAGACTGAATTGATGTTCCTGCCTCAACTTCCTGAGTATCTGGAACCACAGGCGCATGCCACCATGTCTGGCTAATTAAAAAAATACAAAAAAATTAGCCAGGCATGGTGGCATGTGCCTGCAGTCTCAGCTACTTGGGAGGCTGAGGTGGGAGGATTGCTTGAACCCAAGAGGTGGAGGTTGCAGTGAGTTGAGATTGTGCCGCTAAGCTCCAGCCTGGGTGACAGAGCAAGACTCTGTCTCAAAAGAAAATAAAAATTAAAAAAAGATGCAACAAATATATGTTTAAAAAATAGTAAATAGGATGACAAATGTCAGGAAGTATTGATTTTTAAAAACACTATTTTGGTGGGGATGGTATAAAGACAAAACAGAGTATTAAGTATTAGATAATAAAAAAAATATGAGTTGACTTCAACTATTGTTTTGGGATAGGCTGGATAAGATAGGTTGCTAAGTACGCATGTTAACAATTGAAAGGTAACTAGACATATAATGGAATTAGAATGTGTAGCTTCAAAACTAGTGGAAGAAAATAAAAAACACTCTGATGGAAGGCAAGAAAGAAGCAACAGTAAAGAAAAATCATGATCAAAAGAAACACTGAATAAAATATTAGCAATAATTCTAAGTAAGTCAATAATCATAATAAATGCAAATGGATTGTCAGCCATCCATTAAAATGAAGAGTAGCAGATCGAATTTAAAAAAATATTCTATGGGCAATGCAAACATGAATGAATATATATATATACACACACACACACAAATAAATCACCAAATCTTATTGCTACAATGTTGAGCTTAATGCCTTTGTCAAAGGTCAGAGTTGCAAAAGACTTGCCAAAGGTTACATTTGTCATCCACAGCAAGGTGATGTGATATCTGCCCTGCTCTGGGGACCTCTGAATATTACACATGGTTTCCCCTGACTTAATGATGGTGTATCATAGAAAAGCCTCAGAAAGAAGTAGGAATAGGTATTACCATTTAGTTTCTGATGCTAAAGAGCAGCAAAAGAATGCCCATTTACATTTGGTATGTAAGACCAACAGTATGTTAAGCATAATACTATTGCACAAATAAATATTATCAGTGCCATAAGAAACAAAACACATTCTACAACAAGCAAGAGAAAATTAAAACATTTTCAAAAAGTAACTTACATAATTCCTCTGTATTTTTCTTTCCTTAGTTACGTACAAATTTTGATGTTAGGGATTGTTCAATAGATGATAAGGGTTAAGGGTTCTGTAGGCTGAGGCCATACAGAGCGCTTGGATATGCTGACGTGGATGTGTTCTCTTGCATGTCTTACAGGGTGGAACATGTTTGAGTTGTGGGAAGGCCTATATTTACACATATAACATTAGCTAAGCCCAGTGGCTCTCAAAATTATTTTGTTATGTGAACCATCTGGTGGTCTTTTAAATAATTTCAAAGACAGGCCACATCTCAGACCACTTAAATCACAATCTCTGTGGGTGGAACTCAGGCACTAGTATTTTTTGAAGCTGCCCAGGTCATCCCAGTGTTCAGGCAAGTTTGGGGACCAATGCCCTAAAGAAAGTGGGACAAGAAGAAACTTTGAAACTGAAACAGAAAGAAACTTATGATTTAGTGATTTGGTTTATTGCAGAAAGCTTAAACATCAGGCTAGTTGCAAGACTCCTTGCCGTTTTTTTTTTTCCAAGGGGCATTCAGAATTGCTTTCTACTTTCTGAACATTTCTTCACCCTGCCCCAAGCTAAAAAGCTTAAATATCAAAAGTTTAAAAATAAGGCCTAATAGTGTCATTATAGTCAATTTACTCCTCTTAAAACTGTCCAAATTCATACATTTCCAAACCTAATGAAACATAAGCACACCCTCAACCCCTGCACACCTGGCTCACCTCCTGTGTTATCTTACAGACTGATGGTATCTGTCTGTTGGCTCTCTGAAGAAAATACCAGTCTCTGTTCTTCTTGATTATGGCGTTGTACATTAACAGACATACACATCCTTAAGTTCAGAGGGCTCTCTGAGAGGCTGGAGGGGGGTGGAGAAAGCGTGAACCAGCACAAGAGCGAGCACTAGCTAGCTCACAGTTGGTTTACTGAATGTTTTTCTGCCACCTAATGGGCATTTTAGAATATGCTATGCAAACTTCATGTTTATAATCAGTGCATGTCTCGCAGAGGGGTCTCAATAGTGAACAGGTCGGAATCAACTTATTTATAAAAACCTTGGGAGCACTGCCAGCTTCACATTTAGATGTGGATATTTTGTAAGTGATATTTTAGCTTCAGTTTTTCTTTTCTTTTTTTTTTTTAGACACGATCTTGCTTTTGCCCAGGATGGGGTGCAGTGGTGTGATCTGTGTTCATTTCAACCTCGACCTCCCATAGGCGTATGCCACTACACCCAGCATTTTTTTTTTTTTTGTAGTTTTTGTAGAGGTAGGGTCTCCCTATTTTTGTCCAGGCTGTTCTTGAACTCCTGGGGTCAAGCAATCCTCCTGCCTCAGCCTCCCAAAGTGCTGGGATTACAGGCACGAGCCACCACGCCGGGCTCAGTTTCTTAACCCCAAATATAAAGGATAGTACCCAAGTATATAATGTAATTAACAGAACATATAATCTCTCTGACCTTTTGAATACTGTATTAGCCCAGGGCTCAGTGATTGGACCGCTTCTCTTTTCTATCTGCTTTCTTGATGATCTCCTTTGGCCCTATGGCTTTAAATACTACGCACTCACAGGTGATTGCAACATTTATATTCTCCAGGTCAGACTTTTTCCCTGAATCTCACAGATCAACTACCTGCTTGACATCTCTTCTTAGTTGTCTAATAGACATCTCAATCGTAATTTGTCTATATCTTTGCTCATGCTTTCAGTGCAACTCTCACTCCATCCCCGCAACTCACACACCTTCTCATCTCAATAAATGGCAACTCTATTCTTCCAGTTGCTCAGGCCAACAACATTAAAGTCATTCTTGGTTCTTCTTTAATCACTCCTCACATTAAATCTGCCAGGAAATTCTCTTGGATATTTCTGGAATCATACTTTCATTACTCCACTGCCACCACTCTGGTCTATCATCTCTCACCGTTGCCATCGTCTCTCACCTAGATTATCGCAGCAGGCTCCTAATTGGCCTCTTCCAGTCTACACTCACAAAGAAGCCAGAATTGTTAAATCCTAAGTCAGATCATGCCATTTCTCTGCTTAAAACTCGCCAGTGGGTTCTCGTCTCACCTAGAGTAAAACCCAAAGTCCTCACAATGGCCTACAAGGCTGTGTATCTAACCCCTGTGAGCTTTATGATGCTGTCTTGTACTACTCTCCCCGACTGACATCACTCTAACCACACTGGCCTTCTTACTGCAATTCCTTGTTCATTGCTCATTTCCAGTCTTTAACTCAAATGGAGACTATGCTGAGCTCCGCTTTCAAGGCAACCTCCCATTGCCTTCACCACTGCCCTTTGCATCTTACCTCGTGTTTCATTTTTTCTCCTTAGCACTTACCAACACTGAACACTCCATATTCCACGTGTCTCTGTCTTCCCCTTCCTCCCTGTCCCACCCCTTGGCAGAGTGGGAGGGTTTTTACCTCTATGTTCACTGCTGTATCTTCTGCCCGTACAATGCATTACACATAGCTGGAACTCAGTATTTGTTTAACAAATGAATCATACATTTAGTTAATGTTAATGGGTGGGAGGAGGTATATAACAGATTGGAAAAATAACAAACTTGAATTGTCTTTATTTCCTGCTTTAGAAATGACTATCCTTCATGTAATATTTTTCTGATTACATCTATATACTAATCATTTCATTTTGATTAACTCCTTCACTGAAAAGAGTTAAAGCATTATAATCTGTACCAAGGAAATAACACATTAGTTCTACATCTTGGCATTTAACTTCAATAAGTAAATATACTATTTTAAATATATAACACTTAAAATTTTCTAGAATTCTTTCCATTTATCTAGAAATGTTTTCAAATGGACTATGTTAAAATTCAGCTAAGAACTGACGTTGGATCATTACACAGGAGCTAATTAGCGTTGCTTCCCCGGAGCTGCTGGTCCCCCTTCCTGCTTTCACCTTTCCTTCTTCCTGAGGTGGGTGAAAGGTCAAACCCCTGGTGAGAGCAGAGAGACCCAAGGCCCCACTGCGCACCTCAGAGGCAGAGCTTCACAGCACAGTATTCACATTTCTCTAGGCCCCTTCACCTGAGGGAACTGGCCTGCTCCAATCAGTGACCTGCCGTGTGTGTGTGTGTGTCAGAACGGAAGGGTAGAGTGAGGAAAAATGTGAAATAACAAATCACTGCTGCTCCTTGAGAATTAAAGAGCGTCATCACCTGGCAAGATTGCTGTATCTTTATTTGCAGTATTAAACCATATACATGCACCCCACTGCCTGCATGTCTGCCCATGCCTGTCCCACTGTGGTGTTTCCCAACCTTTTTTACATTATGGAAGATGACAGAGAAAATTCTTTGTAATTCTGGAGGCGACCAGCCTGGGAGCTCCAGCCACCTTAAGTCCTGCCCAGCTGGCCACCCAGAAGGCTTCAATCAATAGCTTGAGACAAACTACTTGAGAAGCTCTGCATTAGAGAAGCAAATTCAAGTTTGACATTTTCTCAGGGGAGTGCTCTGTGAGTGACTGTATAAGCCTCTACTGACTTCAAGCAAATCACAGGCATTAGATACATTAAATGCTGAAGTGAGAGCTCTGGCTTTTTGGATAAGCACAATCAAATATAGTTTTCTGTTTTATAATTTGTCAACTTCTCTTCCAGATTAACTATTTTGATCCCTTTATTACTAAAATATTCTTAAATAAAAATTTAAACTTTAAGCAAATTGTTCAAATGTCAAATAAAAAACAATCTTTAGATACAAAGTTATGGTAACCCAAAGTGACATTCCAAGTTTATTTTACACAGTAAAATGCAGTATTTTCTAAAGCATGATTACTCTAATTCTAAAAGAATTCTGAATATGGTTTTATTTCTGCATGCATTTATACAACATTAAAAGTGTCACCTCAAGTTTGTAAGGTATAGTTTTCTACAGATTATTGTACAGTGATAATAAGTCTCTAGCTTAGCATACCACAGTACAAATTCCGCATCATGTTGGACATTACTAAGCACAAGACATAAACAGGCCAATCAAAGTCCTTTGAGATTAAGAAGTGATAGGTACTAATAAACATAGGTAGACATTGAATAAGTCAAGGAACACTGAAGATTTAATGAGTCCATAAAGCATAAAATAATTGATGCAAATATATCTGTCATTTTATTTTTTTTGTGTGTGACAGTGCCTCACTCTGTCACCTAGGCTAAAGTGCAGTGGCATGATTGTAGTTCACTGCACATGCTACCACACCCAGCTAATTTTTTAATTTTTGCAGACACAGGGTTTCCCCATGTTTTCCAGGCTAGTTTCAACTCTAGGGCTCTAGCAATCCTCCCGCCTCAGCCTCCTGAAGTGCTGGGATTATAGGCATGAGCCACCATGCCTGGTTATCTGTCATTTTAAAACATTACCATGAAGAATGATTTTGCACTGTCTTAACTGTTACTGGCTTAGTAAGTATAAAAATATCAAAAAACGAGATCTCAATGAAATGTAAGTAAAATTACTTTTATTTTCATAAATAGATAACCCCATTATACACTTTGAGTAGAAGTGACATGTTAGTTGTCACTGCCCAGTACGAAATGCATATAATAGTGAACACAAATAGTTACATCTCTCTATAACCTTCATGTAATTTCTATACAATTGATTAATTTCCAACATTTCAAAAAACATTATATATCATGGGATACTTTAGTCAACAAAATATTTATCTGCTCATGTCAAAGATGCCTACTGATTTAAAGTAATACCAGTACCGCTTCATTTTACAGAAGCACTGAGCATATTACATTTTCCATTTCATATATGATAGTATCATCCCCAAAAATGTCAATGTGAAAATTTAGTAAGTAGATTAAGAAGCACAAGTGTCTAAGAGAAGTAGGTCCCACAAGCCAGAGAGTAAAGAGCTGGCATCAAGTACTGTTTAACGTTTTGTCAGTAAGTGGCACACAACAAACAGACAAGTGATTCTGTAAAAAAGACAACAGAAAATGCAGCGAGATTTAATAAAGTATTTTTTCCATAGATATTAAAATAAAATTAAATGTCTGTTTAGTTATTACTCCACTTATTCCGGAAACTGCAGCTTCAAATATTAATATTATACTGCAAGCAGTATTTAGTATTTCATATGTTAAGAAAAAACCTCATTGAATTTATCTACCTTTTTTTAAGGAATGTAAACTATGATATATAATTAATTACTTATTTGAATGCAATATTGATTCAGATAGGCATAATCTACTCATTTTTCATAATGAAATGTGTATTCCTATCTCAACACTTTATGCAGATTTTACTTGTTTCTCACAGGGCTGCTGTGGATTCAATGGCTTATCTACGTTTAGTGTCCAGCACAGTATCTGGCACACAGTAAGCTTTTAGTGTATGCTACTTATATTATTTATATTAAGTGAATCAATCTGTCACTTATGCTAGAAAAATTATCTAATGCCCCAAGAGAATAATCAAAAGTTAAGCCTACAGATGTGTGACTTCTGTTTAAGTATTATGCATCCACTATTTCCCAAATTTGCATACACAGTAAACTAATTGTTTCAACTGTTACAATCTATTTTTAAGATCATATTGTATCTATATTTGTTCTCTATGTTTTTGCTATGGCCTTTGGCCTAAAGAAATATGATTCTGACAGGATATTATCAGAAAACCAAATGTAAAAACAAATGTACACTGAAATCAGGTAACCAAGGCATTTTACTATAACTTCTTTAATAAAGAAGTAGAGAGTTACCAGTGTAATTCAGGACAACCTATCTCATTTTAGTTTTTTTTCTTTACATCATGCAATATTTGACTTCAAAAAACATTTTCCATTCTGTCTTTTCTTATATATAAACATTAAGAGCTATTACAAAGTTCTGTCCTCTAAGTAAAAAACCCACTAGAAAAGATATTTGTAAAAATCAGTGCAGGGTAACTGATACTGAATGAAGCACAGGGCTACTGGAATAGGGATAAGTTCTTAAAGGTCCCAATATACCTATAAACACTGGTTTTTGAGTAAATTATTGATTCTAATATATGTGAAGGACTTGGTGTGATGGTTGTCTGATCTTCAACTGTAAGTGACAATTTTTCCACCCATCAGAAAAGATAAATGACTGTGAACATAAGTCTGTGCTCTGATTAACACAATGGAAAAGTGGAAAAACTATCTCTGTTAAAAACTGATTCCTGTCATTCTTCTGATATCAAGTAAGAGGAAGGAAAATAAATTTTGTGTGTGTAAATAGAAAAACATACCTGAGGCTGGGGCGGTGGCTCACACCTGTAATCCCAGCACTTTGGGAGGTGGGTGGATCAGCTGAGGTCAGAATACTGAAATTAGGCCAAATCTTTAAGACCAACCCGGCCAACATGGTGAAACCCGTCTCTACTAAAAATACAAAAATTAGGCTGGGCATGGTGGCGTGTAACCCAGCTACTCAGGAGGCTGAGGCAGGAGAATCACTTGAATCCAGGAGGTGGAAGTTGCAGTGAGCCAAGATCATGCCACTGCGCTCCAGCCTAGGCGACAGAGGGAGACTTTCTCTC